AAGCAAATAAATAAATAGCATTACAACTCCATCAAAGTTATGACTTTATGTAAAGTATTTCAGAAGATGTGTTCCAAAATTATGTAAAACACCAGTCCCAGGTTCTTTATTGGATTATACAGTATGCTCAGTCAGAATATAGAACTGCATAATCTTGAAACTAAAAGACCAAATTCTGAAACCAACAAAAGAGCTATATTCTTATGAGAAGACAAAATATGTTGAGATAGTTGACTCCAAAAGCAAATCTCAATGATCATAAATTCTGATTTCTTAAAATATTCAATTTCTAACTTACTAAACAGCTTATTATTTCCCAATTATTTTGAAGATTTTAATTTTGACTATTAACACTGTAAAATAAACAGGTTTTACAATATTTTAAATTGATATTATGTTTAAAAAGCACTACAATTTCAGGTTTATGAAAAACCACATATATTCCAAAATCAAGCAATAATAAAAATCTGTTACAATGGCTAAAACTAGATTACTTTTCTATTGCATTATACAGTACTTGCTACACATATAAAACAATACCAACAGGAGAAAAACTGAAAGCTTCAGCACTATAGTGTTATTGCCACTCAGTTGCAAAAGCAACTTTATTTGCGAGAAAAGTATATTAACAATTGTCATCAATATTATTCCATTAACACATTAGAACATCCTCATTACTATAGAATCCATCTTAATGTTTCAACGAAAAGCTAACTGTGATTTTCCCCTCATGACCCTTGCAACCATAATAAAAGATAATAACAAATTCCCTATGCCCAGTTCTATTAGATACAGCATTAATCTTTGAAACATAAAGATTTCAACAATGACATGCTAGGTCTTAAAACAAAAACTGAAATCCTATTTGGTACTATGCAACACTGAATTCATTGTTAAGTAAACTGTATAAGCTTGATGTTTTCCTGCTAAGCCAGTTTGAGAAATATATACATACACTGAATAGAAATAGGCTGGCTTCCAGCCTAGATATCCTTAGAATACAACCATTAAAAAGAATGGCATTTAAATTAGTCATGATAAACTCACTGAATTCACTGGACTGATTTAATAAGTATCAATGTGACTGGATCTGACCTTCAATAATTTTATCATCTATGTTAAAAATATCAAATTTGATTGAACATGTGAACTATATGATATACTAACTTTGAGATATATTGAGAAACTACAGAACACTACTTTTCATTCAAACATTCACCCACTAGATATCTCTTTAATCAAAACCTATACTTTCTAAATCAGTCTAAAAATATATACAAGACCTGATAATATGTGCATTTCAGCCTTATAATACAACTCAAGAAACAAACTGAATGAATCAAGTATGAAAATAGATAGTATAACATGTCAACTTCAGATTTATGCACTCTGTTTCTTAGATCTGATGTTGGCATGTTATACTATTTTTCTGTATTTAACTTAGGAACAAAATAAGAGATTTAATTTTAAGGCGACTTAGCAATTTTTACAGACCTCATTTCTAAATTAATGAGATGACGATCACAGTCTTATTAAGGTTTTAAAACACTAATAAAAATAAACGTACATAAAAACTGATGAGTCATGAACAGATAATTTTATTCAGCATTTTTAGAAATCTGAGTTTCCTGGCCATTAATCGTCCTTTTCTTTTCTTCAAAATCCTTATGGAGCAAATTAGTAACTGAGAGAAGACGCCAATTCTAGTAAGTGAATGTTACCCAGCAGGGATATAAAGCTGTCAACACCCCAGAGCTCTTGCTTGCTTTAACCTCTCTCCCAGGCGTCATATGTATTTTAAAGAGATATTTGCTTTTTTCTCCCACAGACTTACTATAAATCCTGCCAATCATGAACATATCACAGCATTTCTGTTTTATTACATAGATGGTTAAAACAGAGCATCTAGGAATTGCAATGCTAGAATACCAGAAGAAAGGGGAGGCAAAAAGAAAAGCAGCAGCTAATCTTGACTAGTTCTACTGAAATTAATATTGTAAAAGATAAGATGTGTTAACTCAAAAACACATGATTTGCCATTAGCAACAAAAGTTTTCTGTAATTTTTCTCTACATCTCAAAATAAAAATTTGAAAAAGGATATGCCACAAGTTCATGTTCAGAGATATGCATCTTAACATAACTAATGTTATAATCTTAGGTCTGCACAAATAATATTTGGAGGGATAAAGAAAAGAGTGTGCTTTAAAATCATATGGGAAGTATCAATGGGCTTTTTTGTTTTCCCCAACAAAAATAAGATAATTACAGTCTGGTGATCCTTAAAAAAACTACAGTACTATTTTAAGAACTTGTAATTTTCCTAAATTATGTATTATATTTAAAACTAAGTAATTATACTTGGACAATCTCAAGAGATGTTTTTATTGTTTTACATACCAAATATTCCTTCAGTATAGCAAGATTCCTTAGTTTACTCCTTTTTCTAAACTGCTTTCCCTTTCTGTTATAATTTACTATCTTCAAAACTATAAAATTCAGATTAAGCATGTTGTAATGCACATGGCAGCATATATACTTGTAGCAATTTATTTTTAAAAATGGATGTCTTCACAAATATTGGGTTGTATTGTAATTAAAAGGATAAATTTATTCTATAAAAATGCACTATTTTAAACAAGGCAATCTTTTTCAATAATTTATGCTTAATTCTATGAAGAGATTTGTTGATCATTTTTACAAAGTAAACTTTTGAAGCATAATAACATGAAGATTTTATAAAACAGAAAGTTTTACAGCATCTAAAATAAAATTTACATCAATTTTATCTATCACCCACTTCCTAAGATGGTCTAATTTAACTATTTTAATATATAATTGCCTTAGTATTCAGTGTAATAGAATTAAGAATGTTTTTTGAAATTATTCTTAGTGCCTTCCATTCAATTGGCAAGCAGATGCTACAATTACAAGAACCTGCATTAAACAGAACGTTAATACTATAATATAGTTTATTAATTTAAAACAATTAGCATTGCATGAAAAGATAAGTTCTTAGATGACGACCCTGAGAAATGAATAAAATGAATAAAATTCAATCTCTTGTCACACTTGATATTATTACCATTTATTGAGAATTTTTGTGGCAAAGCCCTGTAGTAGTAAGGCAAGATTTGCAAACCCCTCCATAATATTTTTTAAAAATTAAAAACCTCTCATTCCGCAATGTATTTAACAGATCAACAGAAAGCAACAATGCAAACTTACAAACATTTCCTCAAAATAAATGTTCTTAATTTGTCCCACTCTCCTCCATGGCTCATTTTGAAACAGTTGCAAAAAGTATACCAAGCAACAAATCAATAACTGTTATTACTTTCATAGTTTTCAATAAGTTATTTATTTTTTCTTATCTCTAAGATTACAATGATAAGAATACTAAAAACAACCCGATACATTCATCAAAGCTCTGAAACCATTGAATATTTTTTATCCAGTGCAAAAAACCATTTAAATTACCTAAGAATATATAAATAACTAAAATGGAGGACAAGGGAGACAGAATGAGAGACAGGTAAGATACAACTTTTCAGTAATCTTTAGCAATTACTAATCTCTACTGAACAGGAAAGCGAAGAATGCACACAAAATGGTTGAACTGTTAAAAAGGGTGCAATGGTGCTATACTGTACTTTTCTTATCAAAGAACCCAATATTTGTAAAGAGATCCATTTTTAATAAAGTGCTGAACGGTAAAAATGCTGTCATGTGCATTACAACATGCTTTATATTTAAGAGAACTATGTGTTTGCCATTATTATCTCCTTCTACTTTAGAAACTTCACCCAAAGGTGACCTTGTTATAATGTCCACCTCCAAACCTAAAGCGACTGAAGTGAAAGATGAAGGAACTATGACATTCAAAAATGAAATATTTAAAGTAACTACATGTTGTAAAGGTTTTAAAATATTGATTACTGAAATGGCATTATTTAAAAGTATAAAATTATATAGAACATATGAAGTATCTATAATTATAATATCCAAATAACATAAGTGTTAAAATAGATATATACTTCTCCACACACAAAAAATAGTTTTTCAAAAGAAAATAAAAAAATGATTTGGCTTATATTTTTATTTTGCATTATATTTTACTTAGTGATACCAAACTATTATTTCTAAATGGATTAAGATTACAGATTTAGAAGGCCACCTGAACTCCTAAACTACATCTCACAAATCTCAACTGAATTAAACTAAGAATAGATAAAGAAATAATACACCAATTCCCTCTGAGTTTCTGTGACAAGTAAGACACAAGGTAAAGGGCTATGATATTTCTCCTCATATCCTTAATTAGTAAAATCGGTACACTCTTTTGTGATATTATCTAAGATATTAACCTAGAATGGATTTTGAAATGACCTTTTTCTATATTTTAAAGATTTTGAAATCCTTCTAAGAATGAAATATAATGAAAATTGTGAAATGCACAGAACGCATTTAACAAAAATAGAGAATTTTGGGGGCTAAATTAAGAGCCCCTTTTAATATAATTTATTTAATGCAAGCCATTTCAGAATAAATAAAAAACTACATACAGGCTAAATACTTTGACATTGGTCCAAATATAGATATATAACTATTTAGAAGATAATGACAAGTACCCTTAAATAAAAGATGATCTACATTTTTTATGTGTTCTGTTAAGACAAAGTGTTTAACAACTTTAAGCATTCCAGGAAAAAGAAGGCACTCTCTACTGCATCATAAAGAAGTTAACTCCAGATATAAAATGGCAAAGTGCCCAAGATATGCCACTTTCTACATAAGCCACTTTATTTAACCATAATGAGCCTATTGGTTACTGAGGAGAGACATCAGTTAAAGTGGGCATTAACTGCTTGCCATTGACTTTCTTTCCGTAATCTTACACCAAGACACTCAAGCTACGCCAACCTGAACCCTGAGACCTTGTGCTATTATAACTCAGCCGCCAGACTGTTATGCATACATTAGTTCTGCTAGGTTTGTTACCTCCCACTGATTTGGTGACAGAACCATTGAGCCTCCCTCTGGCTCCCATAGGGCTGCCATTCTGTTCAAGCCTGGCCACCTTCACCGGGGGAGGACCTTTGACATCAGGGCTGCCGCTCCCTCTCTCTGGGCTATCCCTTAGGCAGGGACTTTCACTTCTCCGATCCATATTACTTTGAGTTGGAGACAACGTTCCCACAGGCAGGTCACAATAAAATGAGCAAGGACCTAAAAAGAGAAAGAGGGAGAAAGAAACAAACAAGAAATACCATTTCAGAAGCATCCAGATCAAGTGTCAATTAGTTACATCTACATTTAACTAGGAGAGTCCTTCAAGCAGAAATAACGGCAGCTGCTTGGCACAGTTTTGCACCTGATTTCTTAACATCTTCCTATGCTGCTTGGGGTACCGTCAGCTAACGAGTATCTTACACGTTATCTTTTAAAGAACTTGGCCGTTCATTTAACTTTGGCTTTATAAACCTTACTATTATCAGAACTATTTACCTGTTCCAGTTTCTCTTTTAGAAAAAGAATGCAATTTATAAAAGCCGTGGACTCGGCAAACAAATGTGTTAATAAGAAAGCCTAAGCTTTAAAAGAGATAATGCATTTCAGATACAATAACTCATGAACCAATATAGTCATCCAGTTAGATAGCTAACGCATTTCAATAGAATAGAATAGAATTCTTTATTGGGCAAGTGTGATTGGACACACAAGGAATTTGTCTTCTGTGCATACGTTTTCAGTCTTATAAGATTGAATAAGATTGATCTTATTCTGGATAAAGTCTGAAGAAATAAGCAGCAAATATATAACACCAGCTAAAAGTACTTAAGAATGTAGCCCCACTTTCAAACTATTAAACAAACCTTTAAAAACAGCATATATTTGCTATCTTTTCCGTTTGTAAACACTTGCTAAGTAATAGGGATGTTAGGCTAACCTTTGATTCGTCTGTTGATTTGTTTTTTGTTTTGCAAAGAAAAAATAGTTTCGCTCAGAAGGGGGGAAAAAGCGTTTTTCCTCCTCGAGTATTTCTCCTCATATGCCTATAATCCTAGAGCCGATTTAGAATTTTGTGTTGAAATGCTATCTCAAACAGATTGCGTTTTCAAGCTTCACTACACAACGTAGGGTGGGGGAGACAGCATAAGAGCGATTTAGAGTTACACAGAAACAAATAAAATGGAGTAACGTATCACATTGAAACTTCAACCTGAAGCAACTCAAGTCAGTTATTACATTTCTATTAAGTCAATTATTTTGTTTTGAGCAGGCGTTTTCCACCATCTTTCAGGACTACCGCGGCAAGTTCGGCTAAGCTTTCCAGTAGTACTTACTGCTTATACTCTGTCCGTAACTTGGCTGACTTGGGCTCTGTCCATGGATCAAAAGTAGAGAATCCAGGATGAAAAGTTTTCTTGGCTCCTCTTGCTATGTTATTTTCTTCTTTGCCTTTTTCGCTTCTGCCCAGTACCCCACCCCCACTGGCGCCTTAAGTTTTTTTTCGGGGGGGGGCTCTTATTTTTCCCCTTTTTTTCGTTCCCGAATTAGGATGCCTGGTCGTCTTGCGCCTGAAATGGCTTGATGCTTTGAGGAAAGAGCTCTTCCTAAAAGGGCACCCGAGGTGGTAACTGGAAAAGAGAGGTGAGACTTCTGGGATCGGGAGGGAAGGAGGCGGGGGGGACGGGGGGCGGTTTCTCAGCCCTTCGGCAAAAAGGGGGGAAAGAAATGAGGGGGAGGGGGAAGCAAAGGGGTGGAGAGGCTGTTTCCGAAGGGGGACACTCTATCGGACTAGCGGCGGTAGCGGCAGCAGAAGCCGGTGCTCTGATCTCGGTAAGCCGCGAGCTGCGCCCGATGTGTCACTTTCAATCTCTCCTTTTTCTAGCCAGCATAAGCAGCCGCGGCGGCGGCAGCAGCAGCAGCAGCAGCAACACGAGGGATTCGCCAGAGAGGAGACAAATGATTATTAGTTGCGTTGAGTCATCAGGCAAAGTGAGTCCTTTCTGGGGTTGTCCTTCTTTGCTTTGGGAATTTTGGGGGTGGTGGTAATGGTGGTGATGCCTTTTTTCCCCTCCCTCTCTCCCTCCCTCCCTCCCTCTCTCTACCTCCTCCCGATTCTTGGAATCCAAAATAACAACAGCCCCGCTTCCTCCCTTCTCTATCCCTCCTACTTTCTCTCCCCCCCCCCGCTGCTTCCTCCTTCCTCTCTTCCTAGTTCCCCAAAATAGTATCTGCGTTTATCTTACGGGATCACTCTGACAGGATAGAGCCCTTCCCGAGGCGGCCGGCTAGAATTTTACAAATTGCTGCTTGCTGGGGCCGTTTCCACGCAGGCGAGAAAGACCGGGGTTGAGGAGGAGGGGAGGAGGTAAAAAAAAAAAAAGAGGAAGCCGCCTGTCAGTGAATTAAAGCCCAATAAATATATAATAAATTGAAACACGCGGTTCATGCAAGCACCCAGGCAAACCCAAAGGGAGCAGGCGGGGGAGCTTGGGAGGAGAAGCGAGGAGGCGGCATTACGAAGGAAAGGGGCAGGATTAGCAGGAGGGGAGCTGGTGAAATTGGGAGCGGGAGGGGGGGGGAAAGGCAGCGAGCGAACCAGCTACAGCTGTAAAAGTGAAGCCGAGCAGCGCCACGCGGGAGGGCACTCGGGACGCGAGGGCGGGAGGGTTGGAGCAGCGCCAGCCCGGTATCCATTCCAGGCGCTTCCTTCCCGTCAGTCTCTTCCTCCAAGCGGCCTGGCGGCGACGGAGCCTCAAAACAAATGCACATGGCCCTCCCCCGCAGCGCAGGGAGGGGGCCTGTGGGCGAGTCCCGCGGGGAGGGCAGGTGAGGGGAGTCAGCCCTCCTTGACCGCATTTTATTTTATTTTTTCTTTATTTTTTTCTCTTCCTTCCCGAGGCGAAGGGGCGCTGGGTGGCCAACCGCTCCTCTCTGGGCGGGGAACAGTCCGCGCGGGAGCAAAGCCGCTTCGTCCTGCGTGCGCGCGTGTGAGCAAGCGAGCGTTTCGGGAGCCGCAGGGTCCGGGGGCAGAAGGGTGAGTGAGTGATCCCAGTTCGTCCGGCGCCGCCGTTCCCTTAAACGGCGTTCAGGAGAGCTGCCGAGAGGTGGGGTAGAGCGGAGGACAAGCGGTAGGATCCGCGCCCAGAGAAGGGAGCTCAGGTGAAGAGAACGCCTTCGCTGGAACGACGACAGGGCGCTACCGAAGGCGCTACCCGTTGGGGAGAATTAACGGACGCTGAGCGCGGGGCCGGAACACCCCCACACACACACACAGCACGAGAGCGCGCTTTCTTCTCCCGGAATCCTGGGTAAGGGGGAGGGGGGAGAAATAACCGACCCTGTCCGCCTCTCTCCCTCCGCCGGCCCCAGCCATGGAGACCCTGAAGCCTCCCTTCAACGCCGGCGGCTGCTCAGCGCTTAAGGTGGTGCAGCAGGAATCCTTTTCCCTCCGTCAGGCGGAGACGTCTCGGCGAATTCTCCCCCCCCCCCTCGCCCTGTTCCTCCTCCTCCTCCTCTCGCCTTCCTCGGCGCTGCCGTTGGGGGAAGCCCCGCGCGCGCCCGGCCGTTCGTCCGCCCAACTGCCAGAGAAGGACCAGCATTCCTGCTGCAGCTCAGCAAAATTCTTGGCCCCCTTAAGAGTGCTTGATTTTACGGTGGCGCTAGAGGGTCAAAAAAAAAAAATCCCCTCAGCCTGAATGGGTTTCGGGGTTGTGCGGTTTTTTTCTAATCGCGGCGACGGTAGAACGTTTTTATAAAGATTTGGGAGGATGTGGATTCTTTCGCCCGTTTAGAAGAGTAGCAGGACGAGGGGAATTAGTTTGAATGAGAGCCGTTGAGATGGAGGCAATTCAGATATACCCTCACTAAAGAAGAACGAAGAAAAAGTATTGTCCTGTCAACGCCTGCCTGGAGTCAAACTTGACTTCTGAGGAATTCGTGGCCACGTCCACGAAGCTATCCTGGCAACAGTAAAAATAAAAAAAAGTGGTTCGCGTTAACTTTTTCCAGGATTGAGTTTTTTAGACTTCCCAAACAGCTTCATTACGAATATAAAATTCAGGAAAACAGATGAAGAAAAAAAAATCGGGTGAGAAGAGGAGACTTTAAAAAAAACCCAGTTTCCTCTTCCTTCAGAAGAGTTATTCGCCGACGAGTAGATCGAGGCGAGCATTTAGCCCACGCAAAATTAGGTTGTCTTAACCCACGCGGATCTACCGCCTTTGGGGCTCCCGAGAGGGTATGTTTATGTTTAGACTTCCTCTGGCGGACCCCAGGTATTTCACCGTCAGGGGGGTGAAAGAAATGCAAAGGCTTGGTGCGTCCCCACCACCAAACACCCTATTCTGTCAGACATATATTTCTGACGTCCTGAAGTGAAAGCCTTTCCGCAACTGTCATGCACGAGTGAGCAGAACCGGCGAACCCCAGTAGCTGCCGCAAAATTACGGCGAAGCGCCTCCTGTGCGCCGAGGCTGCTGAAGCCGGGTAACCTTTACAACCGGGGCCGAAGAACACCCCCCCCCCCAAAAAAAAAGACCAGGTAAACTTAATGTAATCTCGCTGGAGACTGTATCCGGTTGAAAAGCAAAAGAAGAGTCTCGGCTCTCATTTTCCTCATCCCTCCCAACACCAACACTCCTTTAGTAGTTTTGCGAGCCGCTGCGGTGGACGCTTTCAGCCTTCGGCAGAGGCACAAAGCGAGGTGGTGACTTTGGACTTCGGGCTCCGCCGAGAACTGGAGTCTGGAGGGGAAAGACGCGGCGTTCGCGCTCTTCTTCCATCTCACGAGGATGGACTTACTAGGCTAGACTGCTGCAGCTCGCCTCTCCGTCGACCTTTCTGTGGCCATCTGGGGATAGAGACCCCCCACTCTAGGAAGCGCTGCTGGTTGGCAGCTCCGGAACTACGGAGAACCCCTGACTAGGGTAAGAGATTAATTCCAAGTTATTTCCATTTTAAATCGGAGTAGGGCGAGGGTGTCAACCATCCCTGGAAAAGTCATGGTTTTTCCGCAGAGAATTTACACTCCCCCCCCCTTGTCCCTGCACAAATGGTACTTGTAAGACGTGTCAATATTTTCTTGAAAATCTGTAGAGAACTTTTCTCCTTTTTTTGACATTTCAAAAGCGTTCTGCCAGGAGAAAGTAAAAGGCGATGCAGTACTTACACTTTGTTCCTGGAGCTTGCCCATGATGAATGCTTACGAGACTCATTTGAAAGAATTATAGTCGTAGTATTGAAAGAATCACGAAAGAACCACTCTTCAAATTAGCAGAAATACATTGTGCTTGTTTCAGAAAAGGAGGTTGGGAAAAATGTGGAAGCGAAATTGCAGAGGGGAAAAAGTCCTAAACTAAACGAGATGGGATGATTGCCAGAGGCATTTTCTAGAAAAAAAATAGTCTTTTGATTCTAGCAGTAGAATGGTAATTTTCCGCTTACCTTTATTAACCAGATTGGTCGTCAAAATAGAAGAAGTATTTCTAGTTTCAGAAGTTGAGATTTCTGATGGGAAAATAAGATTTGTTTCAGGCAGATCTTTTCTGCTCCTGACTGGTTTGTCACTATTCTTACTGCTGATTATGTGGGTGGCTAGAGAGAGTTCATCCAACCTCATTAAATGAGCTATTTTATGATATCTGAGAAGTGAAGATCTGAATATGCATTTGGTCATTGATCACATTTAACATCACAGTTCTGGGTGAATAACCTGATTACTGGATTTCCAGGTTCAGTCTTGAATGCAACTGGATTGTTCACTTGTTCATATTTTATAAACTATTAATATTTTATAAAAGATTTTAGGAAAACTGTTGTAAATTATTTAGCCACTCCCAGGGTTACTTTGAATAATGCATTCAGTTAAATACTGATATACAGTTGGTTGCAGTGCTGTTGTTTTAAGAGTAATTTGCATACTTTCACCATTTATTTCCTGATAAATAACGGTAATTTTCTTGTAGTGGATTTAAAGTTTTGTGAAACTTCCTGCATGGCTTCTGAAAATAAACTTGGATTATGAAAAAGTTTAAACCATTATAATTTAAAAACTCAGCAAGTTATAATTTAAGATCCACAAACTTAACGATACCTTTCAACATCACTATTCAATTTTGTGGAGTTGTCTGAGTTTTTTTTTTAAAAAAAAATAGTAACTTCTAACAGGAAATTATGGTTCTAAACGTATTTAGGTTAAGTGGAATAAATATGTATCCAATATATTTATAAATTTCTACAATAAAACATGTTTCAAATGAAATATGCTTTGCTTATTTTTTCCCTCTTCTAAATATAAAATCTGTTTGCACACTTCAATAATCATAAGTGTTTAGCATTTAAAGGGGGCATTCTTTCATCTTAGGATAGTTAAAAAACAAAAATAATTCAGAACTAACATAAACTGGCATTTAGTTGAGATTTGTTTGGTGGTGAAATTTTGGATCAAAATGTGCATTGATGTAAATCAGGAGGCTTCTTGTTATTACTATTAGTGTTACTAATATTAAATAGATAAACTCCCAATATAATTTATTTTAATGCTACAGTTATGTAGCTTCCATAATAATTCAGTTTTCCCTTTCAAATATTATTTTAATTCTAAGGACATTCTCACTTATAAGTTTGTTTCATATCAGCATTCTGTCAGAAAGTCCTTTCCCTACCCTACCCAATCGCATCTATGCCCAGGTGCCTGTATTGGCATAAGACACTGATGTCAGCAACAATTCATAATCCAAAAGTCAGGTTTAGGTTTGGGTGAGTCTTTTCTTTACAAATCACTTTCCAACTAGTCTCTACACGGAAAGAAATGTTATTTCTCCCAGGGGTCCCAAGAGTCAAAAAAAAGATCTCCTGTATGTGGATCTAGCAAGACTAATACAGCCTTCTTCAGGCATACCACAACATCCAAGCCATTCAGGAGCTAGAACATCTCATTGACCACAGCAAAATTTAACATTGTCACAATGCTGGAGGCTAGCAGCCTGCCCATCGACTCTGCAAAATTAGTCCAAGAATAATAAGACAGGCAGCCACAACAGATTCTAAGGTTTTGCTCCTTATTGCTAAATTATTGGAGCAAAGCTTTTCATCCCATTCCACTTCTGCCAGTGTCCAGTCTTGCCCAGAAGAAAATGAGGATTTCATATCTGCCTGGGTGGGCCAGGATTCAACAATACAATTTAGCAGTTAGGCAAGGTCATGTGTCATCTTCAGACTAGAAGGCTCACAAGTAAATCCCATTAGTTTTGGAAGGACAAGGGTCTCAGCAAACATGCTGAGTATGATCCCTTTCTTGAGTCCTGGTCTTTCAGAACAATTTATCAAATATTAATTGATTGACAATTGTATAGTGCAGGGATGTTTTAAGGATAATAGGGGAAGGGGCAGATTTGTAAAACAGAATTGGGGTATGAGCCAATTCTAATACTTGCACCCAATGAATTTCAGGGGATGTATGGTGACTTTGGTTCCAAGCCAGTGTGTGATGGGACAATTTAGACATAATAGAATTTCTAAAATTTCTAGAAAAAATAAGCATCCACCCAGCTGCATACTGCATACTGATAAATCATGATTTACTGAATAAACTATATTTGATTGTAACTGGCTAAAATGTAAATCATGGTTTACAAACCACAGTGCCTAGCTTGACAAAACACATATAGCCAGCACAGAACAAAACACATGGTTTTGCACATTTTAGGCCATAAACAGGCTAAATAAGAGGAATACCTATAACATCTGGAGAGAAAGGTAGACAATAGTAAGTAAGTACAGTTCCCTTTACCTGTACACAAGTCTGGATATTGTACCAGTAACAAATGTCTCTAATATTTAACAGTCATCTATAGAGATGCAGCCTAAGCTAGATTCGATGCTTAGCCAAGGTCAGGGAAAACAGAGAATGAAATTAAAAAGTTATTACATGACCTGGTGTGATATAATCATGTCTGACTAACTGGAGCTGACTCTTTCAAACAGATCCCTATGGAATCTGTGTGGTGTGTGTGTGTGTGCATGCATACCTTCATGCATGTACATATATCCCTTGAAACAAAGTGATGTCTAATTGTACCTCCCAGCTTCAAACAGAGCCAGAAAGTACCATAGTGAATGACTTGTCCACCTATTGAGAAAGATTTAAAATGTAAAATGCAAGTTAGGTTTAAGAGCTTGAACTGTGCTTGCTGGGGGGGAGGGGGGCACAAGGGACAAGTTCTTGCAAGAGTTTAAATAAGAAGCCAAGAAGAAAATCAAGCACCCTAACTCTAAGTTGACAACTCCTGATTTGAATTGTGGGCAAGAAAATTCTGACTTAACCTGAAAAAGGCAAACTGCTGATTTCCCAGCTTCAGAATGTATTGAGAACAGGGGTGGGCTGTGGGCTTCCGGCTCTCCTTTATGGCACAAAAACAAGTTTCCTTCTCAATAGGGATTGAGCATGTTAATCCACGACAGTAGATCAACTCCTACTGCCTCTATCCTCAAATCAAGAAGAATGTTTTACACCAGCACTGGGGCACAGACTGAGCTCTTAAAGTTGGTCACTTGCAATTTAGGCCTTTTTACAGTGGCAAAAAAAGGGGAAACCTGGCTGTTTCCCTTCCCTCTCTTCTATCTCTCTCTCTAAGCAGACAAGCATTTGGCACTGTGAACCAGGAGGCCTGTTCTTTCTCAGGCTCTGGAGTCTGGACCAACTTCTTCAGAGTAAAACAGCTTCTATCAATGCAGGCATGTTGGCTCTGATCTTGCCCTTAATAAATCCCATCGGAAATAATCAGGAGGGAAAGAAGGACTTAGGGGCTTCAGCCAGAAAGGGCTGTTTAGCATATCCCAGCCTTGAGGAAGGCTTGTCCTTCAGGCAGCGCCACCCTGTGTTCAGTCTGTTCAGCTGAACTTTAGATACAGCAAAAGTAAAAGACTGGTTGTGCTATAGAAGGGCCATTCTGTAAGCCCATTTTGGGTGGGCTGAGGTAAGGAATTCCCTCCATGAGTTTCCCTCTAATTTGTTTGCCTCTAGCAACATGCAATGCTACTGCCATTCAAGTCAGATAAATTTAGCTCTCTAAAGCCAGCAAGGCACCTGTGTTCAAATCCAGAGGAGAAACTAAGCCCCTTTGGAACTCAGGGCAGAAAATTTCAAAAGCTTTTGGGGGGAGGGGGGAAAAGAGATGCAGAGAGACCTGAGAAGCCCCTCAGACTGGGAAGCAGTCCCTTGCTGGCTGCCCAGCAAGTTTTCAATGGAGCTGTCCTACTGCTAAAATGAACCAGTTATCTCTTCACTCTCCTTATGCTGAGATCACAGTAATGCTGTGGCATAGGTTGGTGACAAAAGGGTTTAGTCCTGGTTAGCAAAGCCAGCCAGAAGCTGCCAGACTCTGTGTTGGTTCTGCATACTCAAACTTGAAGTTTGCATAACAACTACCACTTTTATATAGCATTAAAAAAATCCTTGATATTGGGATGGGGTGAGAAGAGAAGTGGCAGAAAGTCTTTGCTAAAAGTCTTCCCAAGCCAGGTGCAAAAAGTGTCCCCATGCTGTCTTGCCGCCTTAGCTATCCACTTGATCTGAGATCAGTATATTCAGAAAAATTGCACAAGAAAAATTGTATGTAGCATCTTGAACTGACACTGGCCACCTTTACATCCAGTTCTAGGCCTGTGACCTTGGAAGAAGCTGGATGGGCTTTTTCCCCTCTGGCTAGTAGCTTCAACAGCAACCATAGGGTGACAGGTTTTAGATTACAGAAGCCAGTCACTGGTCACAGAAGCATCCAGGAAAGAAAAATTCTATTATCTAGTTTCCCTTCTGTAACCAGATTTAAATGTCAGTCCTTAGTAAAATGAACCCAGCTCATTTCAGAGATTGATAAATGTGTTGCTGATGGAGCAAATTAGGTCTCTCCCTCACCTACACTACATC